CAATACAATGTGAAAGGTAATCCTTTCTCATCAATTATAGAGGCATCCATTTCTTGGCATTCAGAAACACTTATAATATTATTATTTAAAATATAAAATTTAGAAGAGGAAAACAACATTTAAGGCTTCCGTTTTGGTTGCTTTTCTCAGAGGGCAATATACTTAATCATATGGTTACTTGATTATATAAATTTGTGGTTGTTATCTACTATGTTATATATCTACTAGAGGCCCAGTGCACGAAATTTGTGCATGGAGGCAGGTGTCCCTCAGCCCGGCCTACACCCTCTCTAATCTGGGACCCCCCGGGGGATGTCCGACTGCCGGTTTAGGCCCAATCCTGCAGATGGACATCCCTCTCACAATCCAGGACTGCTGGATCCTAACCACTCACCTACCTGCCTGCCTGATTTTCCCTAACTGCTTCTGCCTGACTGCTGGCCTGATTTCCCCTAACTGCCCCCTTCCCAGCCTGATCACCCCTACCATGTCCCCCTGCTGGCCTGATCACCCCTAACTGCCTGCCTCAGCCTCCAGCCTAAGCCGCAGTCTGGCCTCCCTCTGCCAGAGGCGACCTGGCCGATCAGGGAAGGCACCGCCCCCATCATCCCACTGCTGCTGCCACTGGCAGTCACCATGGCTGCCAGAGCCTCTGGTTGGCCCTCCCAGCGGCAGCTGTCATCCGCGGCTTGCCGGAGCCTCGGTCAGCCACTGTGGCTTTGTCCGGAAGGATATCCAGAAGACATCCATCCTAATTAGCATATTATCCTTTTATTAGTATAGATTAGCTGTACATTTTCCTTTTATAGAAGAAGTGAATGTCATGCTTAGAAATAACTCAGTATATAAAATGCTGGGTAAAGAGCTAAATAAGAATTTTCATCTGGGGATGTAAAAAAGTGAAATCATGTCTCTTCTTTTTCTATAGGCCTTTAAACATACCCAAGTTTGTGATCTGCTTATGGGAGCATCTTATGGGAAATGCAGGGAAGGGACCCGTGTGAAATGTTGAGATCATGTGTTTTGGGGATGTAGTGTCTTTGGGCAGCACCCTGCTAGAAACAGGTTTAATTGTGTAGCTCAATCCATCTACAGAAATCTCAAAACAGGTTTTTTTAAATTCCTTACCCAATTTTGTATATTCTAGGGTAAAAAAAGTATAGAGTTTGTTTTTATCCTCAATTTCTTATAGTAAATCCCTTCCTGCTTGTTTATATCTAAAATCTTTCCTTTTTTTCCTGCAAAAAAAGGAGGGGGGGGGCAATGATTTTTTGTCCATAGATCCTTAGAACAACCCTCATATCATTTGTTTCAAGACTGGCCATGATTTGGGGGCTGTGATGAGAAGTAGCGCTTTCCCCACCCACCACCACCACTGCAGTAACTACTGGATAACATACAGAGAACTCACTAGGTACTCAACCATCTTAAGATTAGATGGCCTCCTTCTAGAATATCTAATGATTTTCCTAGAAAGAGGCGGGAGATATGCAGGTAATATCATTTGGGAACAAGAGCCTCACACACACTAGGAAGAACTGGGTGCCAGCACCTCCTATCCATCATGGGTGCTGAGGAAGGGGTCACACAGGGTGTGAATGCTGAGGCCCTGATTGAGTGACAGGTCAGTGCCCCAGGGGAAGGGGGAAGCCCCCAGGACACCCAAAGCTCTAGATTCTGGAGGTGGGATGAGTTCAATAGCCCATGCCTATATGTGAGATGCTCTCCAGCAATCAGTGACTGCTGTGGTGGGCCAACTTTTATAGTTCCTCACTCTATATCATATTTTTCACATTTTTACTTATTGAAACATAGTACCCTTATTTATTTTATTTTTAAAATATATTTTTTATTGATTTCAGAGTGGGAGGGAGAGGGAGAGAGGGAAAAATAGAAACATCAATGATGACAAAGAATCATTGATCATTGGCTTCCTGTATATCCCCCACTGGGTTCAAGCCTGCAACCTGGGCATGTGCCCTGAACAGGAATCAAACCGTGACCTCCTGGTTCATAGGTCGATGTTCAACTACTGAGCCACAATGGCCAGGCAGTACTCATACTTTATCTTTTTTTTAGTTAATCCTCATCCTAGGATATTTTTCCATTGATTTTTAGAGCGTGGAGTACCCATACTTATTTTATATTTTTTGATACCAGTATTTTAAGCCTTTATGAGTCTGATGCAATCTCATTAAGCCAGAGTGTTTTTATGATTTTTTTTAAAAATTGTGATTAGATCTTCTGATTTCTTGGGAATTTATCAGTGAGAATTCTCTGACTCTTGAATTAAAAGGTGTCCTTGTAAAGTAGGTTTTTGTTTGCTTTCACTGGGCATTTGAAAATATTCCTTCCTAACCAGAGCCACTTCACACTAAATTCTCACTGTGATTTTTCAGGTCTCTCAGGTTCTATGGATTTAGGCTACAAACTTACATGAGAGCCCACTTAATATTGCAAATTCTTGTGGTGGAGGGCGATTTCTTCCAACTTTATTTAGTCAGTGACAGTTTTCAAGGTAGATTTTTTGGGGGTTCCATTCTGTGTATGTATCCACATTCCTAGAACTCCCTTATTCTGATAACATAATCTTTTGTAGTGGGTGTTTTCCTAAAAGATTTTACTATTTGGATAGATTCTGGACTTTCCTCCTCACATCTAGGTTCTGAAAGGCCATGAAAAATCAAGTCCTGGGTATTAATTTGGGCAACTGCCTTTCAGGTGAAAGCCAAATTTAGGGCTCCGCTTATGTTCTGGGGTTGGCAAACTTGTTCTGTAAATAACCACATAGTAAATAATTTAGGATTTTCAGGCTACATACTTACCGGCCATACACTCTCTTTACACTCTTTGTTTGTTATTTGATTTTTTTAACCCTTTAAAAATGCGAAAAACTTAGCTCTGGAGACATGCAAACATAGGCCTTGGTTTGATAGACTCTTCTCAAGAGTCTATATTCCCTCTTCACATTTTTTTTTTCCCTCTGAGATCCTTTCCAGTTCAGTGATGTATTTTAAAGTTTATAAAACCTTTTTTTTTTTGGTATTTTCAATAGTTTTTGGATATCCAGTGCTACTGAAAATAGAAGTTTTGTGTTTATTTTACGCAATTTTATAAATATCTACTTAGATCAGTGTTCACACTGGTCATGTTCTATTCATATCATGTTTGTCTTCTATCTCAGATCTTCGTTCTGGTATAAAATTTTTCTCTTTCAGATATATCCTTTAGCTGTTTCATCCATGAGAGGTCTGTTGTTGGTCAAATTCTTGCAATTTATATTCTTTTTTAAAAGATTGTTTCATTGTGCATTTAATTATGTGTTTCCTTGTATTTTCATCAGCCCTTTGAAGATACTGTGGATTTAATTTTACTCACCCTGAATGGGATTTATTGTGCATTCTGATTCTGCAGATTTATATTTCTTTTATTAATTCCAGGAAAATTCCAGCCATTATCTTTTTGAAATACCTCTTCCTCATTCTACTCTTCTGTCTTTGGAAAGTCCAATTAGATATTCTTTAGACTTCTCAGGATCCTCTGTGTCTTTTACTTCATCTTTCATTGTGTCTCTATCTCACTTTATCTCTGCTCCCCTTCCTTCCTCTCTGGCTTTCTGGTAATTTCTGTGACATTTTTTTCTAATTCATTAATTCACTCTTAAGTTATTAATTCATCCATTGCATGTATTTTTTTAAATATATTTTATTGATTTTTTACAGAGAGAAATGGAGAGGGATAGAGAGTTAGAAACATCGATGAGAAACATTGATCAGCTGCCTCCTGCACACTCTCTACTGGAGATGTGCCCGCAACCAAGGTGCATGCCCTTGACTAGAATTGAACCTGGGACCTTTCAGTCCGCAGGCCGATGCTCTATCCACTGAGCCAAACCAGTTAGAGCAATTGCATGCATTTTTTTAAAATCATTATAATCTTTGTTTCTGTAAGTTCTATATTTTTATTTTCTAACTCATTATTTTGGGTCATCTCCCATTAGCTGTTCATTTTGTTGATTTTCTCATTTATATATTTTAAAATATTAAACATAATAAATTCTATAGCTTGTTTTTTTTTTTTTTTTTTTTTTTTTTTTTTTAATTAAATCTTTATTGTTCAGATTATTACATTTGTTCCTCCTTTTTTTCCCCCCATAACTCCCCTCCTCCCAGTTCCCGCCCCACCCTCCGCCCTCACTCCCCACCCACTGTCCTCATCCATAGGTGCACGATTTTTGTCCAGTCTCTTCCCGAATCTCCCACACCCCTTTACCCCCCAGGAATAGTCAGTCCATTCCCTTTCTATGTCCCTGATTCTATTATAATCAACAGTTCATTCTGTTCATCAGATTATTTATTCACTTGATTCTTAGATTCACTTGTTGATAGATGCATATTTGTTGTTCATAATTTGTATCTTTACCTTTTTCTTCCTCTTCCTCTTCTTAAAGGATACCTTTCAGCATTTCATATAATCCTGGTTTGGTGGTGATGAACTCCTTTAGCTTTTCCTTATCTGTGAAGCTCTTTATCTGACCTTCAATTCTGAATGATAGCTTTGCTGGATAAAGTAATCTTGGTTGTAGGTTCTTGGTATTCATCACTTTGAATATTTCTTGCCACTCCCTTCTGGCCTGCAAAGTTTCTGTTGAGAAATCAGCTGACAGTCGTATGGGTATTCCCTTGTAGGTAACTGAGTTTCTTTCTCTTGCTGTTTTTAAGATTCTCTCTTTATCTTTTGCTCTTGGCATTTTAATTATGATGTGTCTTGGTGTGATCCTCTTTGGATTCCTTTTGTTTGGGGTTCTCCACGCTTCTTGGACCTGTAAGTCCATTTCTTTCACCAGGTGGGGGAAGTTTTCTGTCATTATTTCTTCAAATAGGTTTTCAATATCTTGCTCTCTCTCATCTTCTGGCACCCCTATAATTCTGATGTTGGTACGCTTGAAGCTGTCCCAGAGGCTCCTTACACTATCCTCGCATTTTTGGATTCTTTTTTCATTTTGCTTTTCCGGTTGGGTGTTTTTTGCTTCCTCGCATTTTAAATCATTGACTTGATTCTTGTGCTCCTCTGGTCTGCTGTCGGGAGTCTGTATAATATTCGTTATTTCAGTCCGTGTATGCTTAATTTCTAGTTGGTTCCCCAATATAAGATCGAGGGTCTTATTAGTTTTCTTGTAGATCTCATTAAGTTTATCGGCGGCTTCTAAACAGTTCTTGAGAGACCTTAAAAGTGTGGTTCTGAACTCTATATCTTCCATTGACAATTTTGTCCTGTTTCTTTGTCTCCGCATTTTGTTATGCTTCCTTGGTGCACCCCCTAGTGGTCTTTGTTCGCAGTCTTATAGTTAAATCTTGATTGTTGTAGCTAATTCCAGGGAGGGTTTGACCTCCAGGCCAAGTGGCTATGAGAATCAGCTGTGTCAGCAGTGAGAGAACTTCTGTCCTCTAGGGAGGTGCTAATCTAGCCTTTGCCTGAGGCTATCCGGCAAAAGCCTCTGTGCAGGGCTTGGGCGGGGTGGGTCGCACAGGATCAACAGGGTGGGCCAGAGAGAGCAGTTATGGCGGCTCTCAGTCCTGTCCCCAGGGGCTCTGCCTCTCTGAGTCCCAGCACCCGCTGCAAAGCTCAGAGAGAAAGCTGCACTCGCTCTGACCGAAGCCAGACAGTCCCGCTTCTCCCGTTTGAGTCTGGGTCCCTAAAGACTCGCCTGTATCTGGAGCTCAGAGTCTGTGACTCCCTCCCGATTGAAAACGCCAACCGCGCCCTCCGCCGCCAGCCCGCTCAGCGCGCACCGCACCTCAGAATTTGACTTCAGCACTGCGCCTCCTCTGAGTGTCCGTATGCGTTTCTCTTTCCTCCTAGTTGTAGGACTTCCACTCAGCCAGCGTTCCTGTGGTTCTGGGTGATGTCCCTTCCGTTTTTTGGTTTCACTTTTGAAGTAGTTGTTCAAGGCAGCAAACTCCGGCGTTAACCTATGCCGCCATCTTGGTTCTCCTCTATAGCTTGTTTTTTTTAATTATAATATCTGAAGTGTTTAAAAGTATGTGTTGGTTATTTTATTAACTCTGTCTTATAGTGTGTCTCTATTTTTATAAATTTAATGGTTAAGAGGATTTTTTTGGGGGGGAGTGGTATTCCATGTGGTAATCCTATGAGGCCTCGAATGAGAAGATTGCCTTTTTCCAGGTACAAGGTTGCTTACCCTATTCATGATAGCTGATTTAAATTAATTCAGGATGTGGTTGGTAAGCCTTTAAATGCCATTCCTGCATGTGTTCTAACTTTTGGATAGGAATTCTCAGGGGCCAACAGTCTGTTTCACTCTACTCATAACCAAAGCAGGGATCAACATATTTTGTTGCTATCTCCTTTCACAGAAGTTGTTTTCTTTTTTCTAGTGTACTTTTTTTTTTTTTTTTTTTTTTTTTACCAAAGGTAAACCTCTTCAGAGGTATACACATTAGGGATTTGTTCAGAGTCTCTACTAGCTTTTTATAATAGAAGCTCTTTGTTACCAAGTATCAGTAAATACCTTCAGGTGCTTCTATTTTCATTAATTTCCGTTGCTTTGTTTGTGGTCTCTGGAGATTTCCTTTATCCTTTTTTTTTTTTTTTACTCTCAGACTATACTTTAATTGGACATATTTAATATTTTCACTAGTGTATTTGAGTGTTTTGGAGGACAAACATCTTCTGGATTTGTAGAATATTCCCAGAAAGAGAAATCTTGTGTTAGACATGTTATTTTAATTTATTTGCCTTCAGAGAAGACAAACTACTTAAGGATTTAGGATCAAATTTTTATTAGAATCTGATAGTGTTTTCCTGATCTTAGGAAATCACTTACATTTACAGTCTCAAGTGTTTGTTGTTGTTTTTTCCAACTAAATTAGGGTCATATTAATACCAGTCTCACAGTATTGTGGATGGATGTATGAGTTAGTGGATGTCAACATACTTTTGAAAACCATAATGTACTATGCAAACATTAGGTGTTATTATTATACTAAAAGGTTTTCCTTCCCCTGGATGCTGGCACCCGGGACCCAGGCCTTTGGTCCGGCCACAGCGAGGCTTGGCTTCTCTGCTGTGGCTGCAGCAGAGAAGCCAAGCCTCTTTAGTCTTCAGTCTTCAGTCTTCACTCCAAGCCTGCGTATGCAAATTAACGGCCATATTTGTTGGGTTAATTTGCGTAGTTGCTCTGATTGGCTGGTGGGTGTAGCAGAGTGACACCAATTTGCATGTTTCTCTTTTATTAGTGTAAATTATTATTGTCATAACTACCATGATGAACATACCTTTTTTAGGTTCTCTAAACCCCAAAATAGAAACTGTTGCTGACCTATAATTGTAAATTGATAATGTTTCAGATGCAGAAAAAGAAAAGTGTTTCTCAAAACAAAATAAGACAAAATACACATCCACAATTAAAATGAAAACTTGTTTGTATTTGTTACTTAGCAAAATATTTATAAATAAATAAAATAAGATAAAACCTACAGTTGTTTTATCATACTATTGTTAACTTTAATAGTGTTTTAGAAAAAAAATATCTTATTAATAAGTTCAAAGTAAAAATACAAATGTAGACTTTCTCAATATAAAATGTTATTTGTCAAGCAAGTTAAGCTCCCATAAAGTGTTTAACAAACAACATATTCAATTATTATCTGCACATTATGGTATGTAATTCCATTTACTTGTACAACTTATAAAATTTTTAACAATACTTATATAGTCTATCTTTTTCTTATATCCTGCAACAGCTTACCATGTAATTTTAAATTGTAATTATTTGTACTATTTATAATAATAAATTGTGTTTCTTTGTTACATTATTTATTTGCCTGAAAAAAAATTATTACTTCACCTTCTAAGAAGGGTAATACAAGAAGACAACCTTCCTTCTTAACCATAAGTTGTTTAAAGTTTATATGGTCACAAATACATCTTATTTTATGATTACAAAATTATATTTACAGCTTCTGTGGGAAGTATTGTTCTGTGGGAAGTTTATTTTTTGGTTAATTGGTTGGTAAAGCACCAACAAATTTAATATCAATGTCAGAAAGAATATGACCAATTTAGTTCAGTAAGAATTTTTTTCTGATTGGAAAAGTTTAGAGAATTTATGTCAGAAAAAGTAGGACTAGCTTCCAAAGAGCAAATTGAAAATGACAAATCATTCTCAACCAGAATTCAACTTGAAACACACCTGAAAAGTTTTTATTTATCTAGTTTTAGGAAGATACTTTAAAATGTCTTCCGTTTCTTAAACACTAACAGAAATAGCTAACAATTCTCTTTCAGGTACACTTCTAAGCACTTAATAATGTTAATATACTTAAACATCCCAGTAGCCCTGTGTATGTTTCCTACAGATGAGGAAACAAAGAATATAGTGTGAATAACTTGCACCAGGTCATCTATCTATAATAATAAAAGTGTAATATTCTAATTAGTCTGGAAAGCTGAACAACCTTCTGGACGTCATTCCGGACACCCTTCCAGATGAAGCCATGGAAGTGGAGGCAAGGCAGAGGTGGCTGCCATAGTGGGTGGGGGCCATGGTAGAGGCTGTTAGGAATGATCAGGCAGGCAGAGTGGTTAGGGGTGACCAGGCAGGCAGGTGAGCAGTTAAGGGTGATCAGGCTGGCAGACAGAGTGGTCAATGAGTCCGGCAGACAGAGGAATTAGGAGCTATCAGGCAGGCATGCAGAGTGGTTAGGAGCCAGTGGTTCCAGATTGTGAGAGGGATGTCTGACTGCCAGTTTAGGGATTGGACCTAAACTGGCAGTCAGACATCTCCTGAGGGGCCCCAGATTGTGAGTGGGTACAGGCTGGGCTGAGGGACCCCACCCCCATGCACAAATTTTGTGCACTGGGCCTCTCGTATATATATAAAAGCCTAAACAACCATTATGACCAAATGACCGGATGACCGGCTGGTAGCTATGATGCGCACTGACCACCAGGGGCAAACGCTCAATGCAGGAGCTGCCCCCTGGTGGTCAGTGCGCTCCCACAGCCAACCTTCCACAGTCCCTCTTCCCGGCCGGCCGATTGGCCCTGATCAGGACTGGGCAAGACGGCCCCGATCGGCTCCAATTTCTGGCCAGGCTGAGGGACTTCACCCGTGCACAAATTCGTAAACTGGGCCTCTAGTTTAGCAAATAATAGAGGGGCAAGTCTGAACCTGAACACAGCTCTGCTCTGGAGTCTCTATATTGCCTCCAACCAATTCTTTTTAAAAACTAATTTAAAATTTTCTGTTCATATTGGTAAAGTCCTCTTCACTTTTCTTGAATAACTGATTTTTGAAAATACTTGGATTTTAAAGGAATGCTTGGTAATTCAAATGAATTTTTATTGACATAATTCCAGTAAACATAAGAAGGCAAAATGAAGAATTTGAGGCAACTTAGAGGAACCCATTATTGTACATGGGGACAACTGGGGAGTATGTTCTTACCAAGAAATAGTTTCTGAATTTCCCAGCCTTTCTTCAATGTCATAATTCTGATTCAAACATCTCCCCAAATGCATTGACCAAGACAGGCCTGATATTCCCCTTAGTATCACTGAATTGTAGACATACTTCTTTTTGGCTATAGGCCTCTGACCCTTTTTAGGCACATTTACTAAGGAAACTTTTGATGGTAAATTCTTTCTCTGCCTCATTGAGATGTAAATATTCTCCCTAGATCCTGACAGTTTTAGGATCCAGGACTGTCTTTCTGGAGTTCCTGGGAGCCCCCCCACCCCCTTTGAAATGTAATCATCAAGAAAGATAGGGCCCCTATTTTCCTGTCCCTCGGGGAGGGCAGGAACCTAATTTTGATAGGTGCCAATTACCAACCCCAGATGGCTCAGTCACTTTGACCAACCTCCTCCCCAATGTCCTGTCCTCTTCTTTTCACCTAGTTCATCACTCTCCCTAGTGTTTAAAAACAAAGGTATTATGTTTCAGTGGAATTGAGTTCAATCTCCTATTTCAGTTCTGTTGATCTCTATTGCAATTATTTTATATAAAATACTAGGGGCCCAGTGCATGAATTTGTGCACCTTGAAAGGAACTGTGGGCTACGAGGCTGCGGAGGGCACAGGGGCAGGTCTCCGCCCATCCTCCACACCCCTGGCTGGGCCCTCCCACTGTAGCCCCTGGTCCCCCGTCTGCTGGCAGCCCCACTCCCACCGCTGCCCCTCCCACATGCTGACATGTCAGCGGCAGGTGAGAGCACCGGCAAGCAAATAATTTTCAGTGACCACCAGAGGCTCACCCTGATGACGGAAACTGGTGCTCCGCCTTGGTCTGGCACCCCCGCTCACCTGCTCCACCATCCCACCTTGGCCAATGCCCGCCATGTTTCACATGCGCCCCCTAGTAGTCAGCACACATCATAGTGGCCGGTTGTTCGGTTGTTCTGCTGTTAGGTCTATTTGCATATTAGCCTTTTATTATGCAGGATTCCATGCTGTTTTAAACAAGTGTCCAAGGCACCTTTTCCTTTACAGCATCAAGACATTCCAACATACCTTTAGAGGTTTGGGGGTGAACTCTACACAAGCTGGATTGTTTATAAGAAAGATGTATATAAATTGTTGGCTGTCTAGATTGTTTTCCTTGTTCATTTTTACTTACCTCATCTAGTTCTATTTGGTAATTTTTCTTTTGATATAATTTAGCCTATGGGGACTGAGAGATAAATTGCAATGTTAGTGGAACCTAGCAAATTAGGATATTTCCCGAACCAGGAGAAACATAATCCTTGAGTTTTTAAAAATTCTCCAAGTATTTATATAAGCATAAATTCAACTGATATTAATTGTACAAGCACCTTTATTAGTGCCAAGGTTATAAGGAAGAATAAGTAAGGACTTCCCTGATTTCAAGGGGCTTGCATTCTATTCAGATGTTAAGAGTGACATGGGCAAAACAAGGCCTCCATAACTGTGTAAAGATGACAAAATCCTAAACTGAAAAGGAAATACATTGTATCTGAGCATTTGAGATGTGTTGGTAAATACATAAATGCTAATACAAGTAGGATAGGGTTTTCTGTTTTAATAATGCTCTGCAATTTGGTTTTCTTTCTCTACATTCTCTTCCTTTATGCTCTGCTCCTATCTGCTATAAAGACCATTAACTGCTGACATACACTTTGTCAATTATGACATTCAGTTCTGTCTTGACACATCTGACCTCTACAAACCCTTAGGGCTGCTAAGTGGAGCAGAATGCTGAGCTCTTGGTGAAAGAGATAATCTCGCCCTAACCGGTTTGGCTCAGTGGATAGAGCATCGGCCTGCAGACTGAAAGGTCCCAGGTTTGATTCCAGTCAAGGGCATGTACCTTGGTTGCGGCACATCCCAGTAGGAGGTGTGCAGGAGGCAGATGATTGATGTTTCTCTCTCATCTATGTTTCTAACTATCCCTCTCCCTTCCTCTCTGTAAAAAAATCAATAAAATATATTAAAAAAAGAAAAAGAAAGAGATAATCTCACATTTCAGTACACACACATGCATGTGACTTTGATTAAAAAAAACAAAACAACAACACAACTCTGTATGGGACAAGCTAAATTAAGGAATAGTTAGGAGTTTTCAAAACAAATCAAATATCTTACAATCTATGTTATTTCCTGATAACGTCCTATTTGGCGTGTAAAACATCCCTAGAATTTTTTTTTCTTAATTGTGTACTATCTTCCCATCAGCATTGTAGTTCTTTGACTTGTTAGAGAATAACTAATTCCTTTAGATGCTACTGTAGTTTTGAATTGTCACGTATTGATTTTGTCAAATCAATAATGCTATTTATTTCCATTTCCATTCTAAAGGTAACACATGGTCATTACTGACTATATTACAAACTGAAAAATAATTTGCATGTTTTAGAAAGTGTGCTGCACAATTTCTAGGTAACACTTCAGTGAACTCATTTGTATAAATTGATAGTGTACTTTAAAACTGTAAATTAAAATAGGCACCACTATATTGGTTTATGAGTGTTAAATAATAAGGAAGGACAAGTTTGAAACTAATTGTCTATCAGGAAGAAATCTATTTCCTTAAGGAATGTCATTCAAAACAACTTTGTTCTGCTGTAAGGTTTAAATTAAATCTTGTTCCGAACAAGAAAGTTATGACTATTGATTTTCTTAGCCCTAATTCACCCAAGCCATTATCTCAGTCTCTATAGCATTTAACTGCTTTAATTTATTTACCAAGCTGAGGATAATCAACTCCCTTTACTCTTTCACTAGGCAAATCAACAGTAATTTTCTCTAATCAGAAACTATTGTATTGCACAAATACATATCTCATAAAAACCTGGCTGATCCCTTCAAAAAAAGATGAAACCCTCAATAAAAATCATCATTTTAGTTTCATAATGAGTGATAGAAAAGTATGGTGAAACCATAGTTTTGCATACCATGACACCATTGACCATCTATTTTTTTCTTTATGTGTGTGTTCCCATTTTTGTGGCAGGAACAATACTTAAAAAGTTGAAATATATTGGGTTGTCCATTATGTCTAAATATTGCATTTGATTGGCATAAAATTCAACTTCTATTATAAGGAAAACAAAACCTTTATCCAGCTAAATAAATCTAAACCTCCTATTGAGATTTCTACATTTGTTCTTTCTTGAACTTGTTTGGACACAAATGAGCCCAAAGCTCTTCTTTATTTGGCCACATTACCAAGCAAACTTACCTATGCTCCAGGTTTTAACTTTAACCTCCAAGGAGACACGCACTAGTTATGTAGCCTTGAACCTCTTCAATTTGCAGCCTTGTAATTATTAATAATGGAAATAACAATAAAAACACCTTAGCATTGGAGAATCATGTGGACTGCCCTTCTCCTTGGCTAGTGGAAGTAGGGCTCTTATATCTTGAGAAAAAGAATTTTCTAAGACTCACACAAGAAAATGAGTGGTTTTTATTTGTGTGAAATGATATCCCTCGGTTTCTAAAGTCCCCTTTCCCTTAATCCACTTCTGGAAAATGTGCTGCTGGGGTTTCAGCAAAGTTAAAAGCAAAGCCAGTGTCCAGAGTTTCCCTTCCACAGTGGAGCTCAGTCTGGCAGAGCTTCAGACTAGTTGTAATCCATTATGTGGGGTCCACGTGGTCATGAACCAAGTGGGCGAATGCAGGGGAGCATGCCCCCTACAACAAGAGGTCCAAGAGGGCAAAGGGGCCAAGAGAGGGAACTCCCTTTGCTCAGGAGCTTATGTATCTTGGATTTTGCATCCTTGCATTGTGGCTACTCCTATTTTGGCCAATGCCCTGTTCCCAGATGTGACTGACAGGCAAGCATCTTTACCATGTCATTCAGACCTTACTGGGCATGTATCCTGCAATCTATTTCCCCAGGATCTGTGGGGAACTGCAGCTTTCTGGCAAAGCTGTACAAATGGCATGCCTATATTATCTAGCCTTCCCTTCGCTCCTTTAATGTTATTAACCAGGTTATTATAATGGTAGCAATTTTTACATATAAACTCTGTTTATAGTTACACATAAGCTATACATAGCTTGAAAAAATACTTCCATACATATTATCTTCTTTTACCTTTGCAATATTTGAGGTGGGTTGGGAAGGTAGTATTTTTCCTGATATGTCATTAACTTAGATTACCTAATATTGCCTCAAGCCTAACACTGACAAAATGAACCCCACTGATGTCCTCATTCATTTACTCCTATCAGAAGAACATGGACTAGACACCTCTGCTGCCTCTCTGAGTCTTCTCTTCCTCTCTTATTGTTTTATATGGCTCTTGAATCTGTACATTCTTTTCCTCTGTATACTGCCTCATTTTTGATTTTCATCATTGCATAGTTAACTGATTCTAGCAATCTGTGTATGGCTTCCTTGATTCTAGAATTATCCCTCTTTATACTGCATATTAAGACCAAGTCATATTCCTAGTCTAACAAGTTCAGCAGTCAGGCTACAAAAAAATCATGATTTCTCTACTTTCCTTTGTATAAATTCAAACTCTTTCTGGGCATCTAAGGAACTTTTTACTCTGGCTCCATCTTGCATTTCTTAGTTCAATATCATCTATTACATGTCAACACGGCCTCCCAATTTCAGTCAAACATGACTCACTATCTTCATTCTGACACCTAGTTTTTAGAAATTTATCTTTATTGTTGAAAGTATTATAGCCTTCCACCCCCCTTTTCCCCATTGACCCCTTCTAGCCTGCACACCTGCCTCCTGCCCCAGGCCTTCACCATATTATTGTCTGTGTCCATGGGTTTTGCATATATGCCTGCAAGTTCTTTAGTTAATTCTTCCCCCCTCCACCCCTGCAACCTCCTTCTCTCTCTGAGATTCAACATTCTATTCCATGCTTCTATGTCTCTGGATCTGTTTTGTTCTTTAGATTCTACATATGAGTGACATGTTTTTTTGATATGTACCTGACTCACTTGACAAGTTGGCCCTTTTCCTTTTCTCCTGTCCATCCTTATCCATACCTTAAAGCCAAAGACTAATCCCACTTTCTCAAACCTTTCTGGCTACAGTTAACTAACCTTTCAGACCTTGATTTTTGTGGGTTTTTTTTCTTTATTTTTATTATTGACACTATTGCAGGTATCTTCGTCCCATCCTCTTTTCCCTCCTCCACCCAACCCCCAATTGCCCTTCCCTCTGGCACACTGTTGTCTGTGTCCAGGGGTTATACATATATGTTCTTTGGATAATTCCTTATTCTACTTTGTACATTTTTGATTGTAGAGTTTAGATAATCATTTTCTTTATTGTAACTTATGACATTCACTTGGAGGTCAGATTGTAAATACTGTTCTTTCCTACATAAAGTTAATTATCTGAAGTGTATGTTTTGGAAAGATAGATGGTAGGTTTTGTAAAGCAGCTGGGAAATATTTTTGCCTTCCACTCTATTCCTTTTGCATGAATATCAACGATTGGTTAAGCTTTAATCTGCTATGTGAAAATTCAAATAGGCATCCAGATGGTGAGAGTTTTGCGTTTGGTTTGGCTTGGCTTTCACTAGAGTACTGGTGATGGGATGCATCTCCTTCTCCTACAAACAGTAATTTACCTCAAGCCTTAAATACAAGCATATGGCAGGTTGGGGCTGCAAGTCACTTTGGTTTAGATGACATGTTGTCCAGTACAAACTCATTTATTTAAATGGCCAGTGTATCTATAAATATCAATGAGGTTGTTTGATTTTCTTGAGTATAAATTTTACAATGGGTGTGATGTGCATATCTCATTCTTTGAGATGATGATCGAACATCTCAGGGGCTAAGACTTATGTTAAACCTCATACATGAGATCATGGTATAAGGCACAAAATGATGATTAAAAATCTTATAACAGCCGGGTGTGGTGGCACGCGCCTGTAGTCCCAGCTACTCGGGAGGCTGAGGCTGGAGGATCGCTTGAGCCCAGGAGTTCTGGGCTGTAGTGCGCTATGCCGATCGGGTGTCCACGCTAAGTTTGGCATCAATATGGTGACCTCCCGGGAGCGGGGGCCACCAGGTTGCCTAAGGAGGGTGAACCAGCCCAGGTCGGAGATGGAGCAGGTCAAAGCTCCCGTGCTGATCAGTAGTGGGATCGCACCTGTGAATAGCCACTGCACTCCAGCCTGGGCAACATAGCGAGACCCCGTCTCTAAAAAAAATAAATAAAAAAATCTTATAACAATTAGATTTTGCAATAGGGTGAATAGGAGTCATGAATAGAGAACGGTGGAAAGTATCCTTTTGAATCCTCTGTTAAAAGTAGCCTAAAGGGATGGTAATTTTCAATAGTTCAAAGCACCTATTGTTTCTAAATGAATAAATTAAAATGAAAATAGGTATTTAAAATCTCCCTCTTTTAACATACTAGAGGCTGGTGCATCGTGCACCTGTGGGGTCCCTCGCACTGGTGCATGATTGGGGCTTGGGGGAGACTGTGGGAGGGCTCCAGGGCGTGTCTGGCCCATCTTGTCCAGTCCCGATTGGCTGGACCCCAGCAGCAAGCTAACCTACCAGTCAGAGCGTCTGCCCCCTGGTGGTTAGTGCGCATCATAGCTACTGGTTGAATGGTCAAAGGGTCGCTTAGGCTCTTATATCTGGAGATATCAATGACAAATATGGAAAACAATGCACTCTGCCAAGCACAGAACTAACCTGCCTTATGCTAACTCCAGCACTAGATTTGGGGGTATTAGTGGCACTATGAGAAGTGAAGCATTGATAAAACTTCATGCATAGGTAACCATACAAGATGGAATGTTGTTAGCAAGTGCTATGGTTTGCAAAAGAAAAATGAGATTTTATTTTGGAGTGATATTTACTTTCCTTTGAAGATAACTGTTTTCCTCAATTCCATTTTTTTTCTGACACTTTATTTTATTGTAGTAAAGTACAAATAAAATTTACCACTTTAGCCATTTTAAAGTATGCAATTTAGTGGCATATAGTAAATTTACAGTGTTGTATAATCAGTACCTCTATCTAATTTCATAATATTTCATCTTCCCAAAAGTCAATCTCAGACCCATTAAATAGTTACTTTCTATTTTTGTCCCTCCACCCAAGCCTTGGAAACCACTAATCTGCTTTTTATCGCTATGGATTTATCTATTCTAGGTATTTCATTTACATGGAATTGTGTTATTGTTCACCTTATTTCGCTTAATAATATAATGTTTTTAAGGTACATTCATGTGGTAGCATGTATCACTACTTCATTCTTTTTTGACTGAATAATATTTCAATGTTTGACTATATAATATTTTGGTTATCTATTTATCAGTTGATGGACATTTTGATTGTGTCCAATTTTCTACTATTCTGCATATTGCTATTGTGAACATTTGTGGACAAATATTAAGCATCTGTTTTCAGTTCTTTTGGGTGTATATCTAGGTGTGGATGTGCTGGATCATATGGTAACTCAGTGGTTCTCAACCTTGGCTGCACATTAGAATCACTTGGAAATCTTTTTAAAATCCTGATTTCTGGGCCTCATCCTCTGGAAATTCTGTTTCTTTGTTATGGGGTGAGACCACAACATTAGTAACAAAGAAACAGAATTTCTGGAGGGTGAGGCCCAGATATCAGGATTTTAAAAAGATTCCCAGGTGATTCTAATGTGCAGCCAAGGTTGAGAACCGCTGTGGTAACTCTGTTTAACTTATTAAGGAACCATCAAACTATTTTCCACAGCAGCTGATCATTTTACATTTCTACCAGCCATTTATGGAAATTCTAATTTCACCACATCCTCACCAACATTTTCTGTTTTCTTTAAAAATTTTTCTTATAGCCATCCTAATGTGGTTTTCACTTGTATTTTCCAAATGTCTAATGACAGAGAATATTTTCTCAAGTGCTATTGGTATATCTTGTTCTTAATACTCTAAACACCTTTAATCTACAGCATAAATTAATTGAACCTGTATCCTTCTAAGAACCATTTATTATTCATTACTATTTTTTGAATGACATATATTAAAAAACCATAAAACATTTTCCTAAAAATTTCTCATTTAAAGTAAGATTCAAGTATCTTGCCATTCCCTCCTCCCCCCTCCCCCCCGCCCCTGCTCCCGCTTCCCCCACCAATTTTTCCCCAAAAACTTTTCTCTGAATTTCATAAACCAACGGGTAGTTGGGTGTTGGGTGCTGTGAGAGGGCAGTCTCTTGTCTAAAGACATTTAACGATAACACAATTTTATCTTTAGATTCCTCCACCTCATTCCTCTCTCTTACTCTATTACTATCTTTCTTACCTCTATCATTTTAGTCAGAAACAGATTTGCCTACTCATTGAGATGAATATTCTGTATAGAAAGGTGAGATAAATTGTCTCCTTCTATGTTGTTAACTATCTTTCCTGTGACCTTAATTATCTCTCTCAAAGATTTCTCTTTCATACAAACCTCAACAAATTAGACAAGATTGAGACAGGGTTTTTCCTATGGCATGTAGTTAGTAATGAAAAGCTGACTCTTTTGGGGTTGTTTATGTGACCCAAATTTAGTGGGCCACAGATGGAAAGCAAGGAAATCCAGCTTTGGGAATGGCTGTTTACATGTGGAGGGTTTGCTGGAGGCCTGCTTCAACCACGCTCATTTCCTGCAGGATTCCCTTGAGGAGATAAAAAGAGCAGCTGAATGCTGCTTTCACTGTGTGTTCCAGGCTATTCTTTATTTTCACCCTGAGTTTTATACTTGTGCTTATATGTGTACATCATTTTCAAAGGCAGAATGTGATGAATGTGACTATCATTGCAAAAAAAAAGTTAAAGCAAATTGTTCCCCAATGATTTCTACCTCTTTTCCATGGGTTCCAGTGGATAATAGAAATAGAGTCCACCTACCATAAGTAATAGTGTATGTTTACTGCATGTAATACACCCACACAACTTTAAAAGTTGAAGGAAATTTCACTTGTGGTACCTGAAACTTTCTATTACACAGAAAAGTTCTGTAGGTAATTTGTGCAGTTAATTAACTGTGGATGTAATTGACAATTTTGGAGAATAATTAGCCACTTCACTGTCATATAAGTGTAGAAAAGACAAAATACATACAAATTAGAGAGCTGCCACTGTAATTAGTTGAGGTTATTGAAAAGAACTCGTCTATATTCGACATTTAAGAAGACAGTACATCAACACAGGCAAATTAGAAATGACTATTTAGATACATTAAAAAATACTTCTTTTGGCTTACTCAACCCAATTTTTATAAAACTTTGAGACAACCTTAACATTAGTCAAGTATAAAGATGTTATGCAGCCCCAAATAATATTCAAAACATTTTAAAAAATTATAGTGTTCCATAGGGTTATTTCCAGGGAAAATGAATTTAGAGAATTTCACTTTCTACATTATTCTATAAAGATTATTTTAAAATATACAAATATTTATAGAAGAAAATTAATTAGCTTTGGAAACAAGTTGGTACGTATACAAAGAATCCAACACTATTAAAAGTTCAAAAACTCAACTTTTCATTGGCTATAGAACAAATCATTAGGGGAAAAAATGCCTGATGGGCAGTAACACTGACAGATGGTAATACACTGCAGTTAATACTTACAATTTCCATGCTTAGAAAGTTTCTTTCTTTTAGAATTAATCACCAAACTGTGACCCACTTGCAATTTACGGGAAGAGACAAAGTATGGTAGAGTTCATTAAGAAAATGAAAGAATAATACATCTAACTATTTTTGGCATATGATATGCCCTTTAGATGGGATATGAACAAAAGGATTATGTATGCTGTTTTAAAAGGGTATTAAAACAAAACCAATTAGTATATTCCGCAGAGACTTGTTTTATAATTGTGTCCTTGGGGCAAATCAGTGAAAGCTCTAAACCAGGACCTTTAACAAATTCCTCAGAATGTGCTTCAATGAATTAAATGTGCTGAAGACCAGTTTTTCTTATGAAAAGCTAACAAAATTAGGAACAGCAATGGGCTGAAAATGCTTTTATTTGTAGGTGTAAGGCATGTCCTGCACAGTGACAAGGTTTGTGCAATGTTACTTATTTCTACTGAACCACATAACCTTGATGTTATAAAAAGGAATAGTCAATCAAAAAGGACATTAGGAGTGTGAGGTGCTTGTAAACGTTGCCCATTTTTATTCAGTTATTCATTCAAAACACTTTTTTTCAGCATTTGCATAGGGTTGAGAATTTTGTTAGAAATTAACAAATCAGGGTGTTTAGTAAAGTGATAGAATCAAATGAATACATCAGTATTTTAGTTTCTCATAAAGATATACACCGAGGGTATTATAATTGGGTGTAAGGAATAAACAGGCCATTTTGTCAAGAAACAGGAAAGACCTGATAGGGAGGAGACGGGAGTATGTGTGTTCATTAACTCAACAACTATTTATAGATTGCCCAGTAAGACACAATACCTGTCCTCAAGAAGCTTATAATTTTGAAAGATGAGTAGTTATCACCAGTAGATGGGGAATAAAAGTGCATTCCAGGGAAGCACAGAGTCTTTGAGTATATTTGGATACGTTAGCCAATGTGTCTTCCGCACTCATCTACCACATGTAGCTTAAACTGCTACAGCTTCTCCCAGGGAAATAGTGCTCAGTTTGTTTTGTTTTTGTTTTTCTATAGAAGAAGACACTGGTCAGTGAGTAGAAGACAAAACTTAAAGAAACAATATATGATCTGCCCACTGATTTAAGGTTTTCTCCAAGTAGTGGGGAGTTCAGCTAGAGTTTTAACCCAATGACATGGCACGATAATCAGTTGGTGATGGGCTTTGGAACAGAGAGAACTTTTGTATAGAGCTCTTGATTGTGGGCAGGCTGTTCCATGTAAAAGATGAACTGAGCAGAGAAACCATGTCAATAAATTAAAAATAATGAAGCAGACTTAGGGAGGCAGAAATTGGAGCCCATGCATTAATTTAACAATTGAATGAAAACTTTCTAATTCAGATTTTCACACCCGATGGCCTTAGTTGTAGATATTAGCCCATATGAGAATGTATGAGCTATTCATACTTTTTAAAATGGATTTTAAATAGAGGAAGAGGGGAGAGAGAGAAAGAGAAATACTAACCACCAGTTGCCTTCCACATGGGACCCAACCAAGGATCATACCTACTACCTGGGTATATGCCCTGACTGGAATAGAACATGCCACCTT